CGGAGCTGTCGTACATTCGGTACTTGGATCGGTCGGATCGTGAAGACGTTCGACTACATCAACCGCGTTCTCATAACGTTTCCGCTTAATGGTCTACAAGGGTACGTGGACGACACTCTCCCCTCTAGTTGCTATGCATCACCATGATCTTGCGTGTGCGTAGGAAATTTTGTGAAATTACTACGTTCCCCAACACCCACAAAGGATAATGAGACTACTCCCTATGAGCAATGGGAAAAGAAAAAAACTACACTCTCTTACCTACGCACTTGGGGCTGTTTGGTGAAAGTCAACGTGCCGATAACCAAAAAGCGCAAGTTGGGACCAAAGACCGTGGACTGCGTTTTTCTTAGCTATGCCAAGCATAGCGTTGGCTATAGATTTCTAGTGGTGAAATCTGATGTACACGACGTGAAGGTCGGTATGATCATGGAGTCTAGGGATGCTACATCCTTTGAGGATATTTTCCCCATGAGAGATATGCAAAGCAACTCTAGACTGGAATCTGGTGAGACTCCTGAACCTGCTATTCCAATGGAATATTATGAACATAAAAGTGATAAGGGTTCCACGGAGGATGGCGAGGAAGCTCCTGTTAGGAGCAAGAGACAAAGGACTGCAAAGTCTTTTGGTGATGATTTCCTTGTGTACCTCGTGGATGATGACACTCCCAGCTCCATTTCAGAAGCTTATGCATCTCCTGATGCTGACTACTGGAAGGATGCATCCCGTAGCGACATGGATTCCATCTTGGCTAATGGGACATGGGAAATCACTGATCGTCCTTATGGTTGTCAACCATTGGGATGTAAGTGGGTGTTCAAGAAGAAGCTTAGGCCCGATGGTACTGTTGAGAAGTACAAGGCTAGGCTTGTGGCCAAGGGTTATACTCAGAAAGAAGAAGATGATTTCTTCGACACTTATTCACATGTGGCTAGACTGACAACCATTCGAGTGTTACTCGCTTTGGCTGCCTCGCATGGTCTTCTCGTTCACCAGATGGACGTTAAGACGGCCTTCCTTAATGGAGAGCTAGACGAGGAAATTTACATGCAACGGCCAGATGGCTTTGTAGTAAATGGTCAGGAAAGAAAGGTGTGCAAGCTAGTGAAATCCTTGTATGGCCTGAAACAAGCGCCTAAGCAATGGCATGAGAAGTTCAACACTACTCTGACATCTGTTGGCTTTGTTGTGAACGAAGCCGACAAATGTGTCTACTATCGCTATGGTGGGGGCGAAGGAGTTATACTGTGTCTGTATGTCGATGACATACTGATATTTGGGACCCACCTCAAGGTCATAGAGGAGGTCAAGGCTTTTCTATCTCATAACTTTGAGATGAAAGACTTGGGAGTGGATGATGTTATCTTGAACATCAAGCTACTGAGAAATTCTGAGGGTGGAATTACACTTTTGCAATCCCACTGTGTTGAGAAGATTTTGAGCCATTTTGGATATTCAGAATGCAAACCTTCTGCAACACCATATGATCCTAGCGTGTGGATTCAAAAGTTCGAAGGCACGGCTGTAGATCAATTGAGATATTCTCAAGTGGTTGGTTCACTGATGTACCTAGCATGTGCTACTCGTCCTGACATCTCATTTGTTGTATGCAAACTGAGCCGGTTTGTTTCCAATCCGGGAGATGTGCATTGGCATGCTGTTGAGTGAGTGATGTGTTACTTGCAAGGTACTGCGAACTATGGAATTCACTATTCTGGGTACCCGACGGTACTTGAGGGGTATAGTGATTCGAATTGGATATCTGATGCTGATGAGATGAAAGCCACAAGTGGACATGTCTTCACACTTGGTGGTGGTGCTGTTTCCTGGAAGTCTTGCAAGCAGACGATCTTAACCAGATTGACTATGGAAGCAGAACTCACAGCATTAGACACATCATGCGTCGAAGCAGAATGGCTTCGAGAGCTATTGATGGATTTGCCGGTGGTTTACAAACCAATGCCAGCTGTCCTTATGAACTGTGACAATCAAACGGTGATTGCCAAGGCTAAGAGTTCAAAGGACAACATGAAATCCACAAAGCACATAAGAAGAAGATTGAAATCTATCAGAAAATCAAGAAACTCCGGAGTAATAGCGTTGGATTATATCCAGACGGCTAAGAATCTGGCAGACCCTTTTATGAAAGGGCTATCACGGGTTGTGATAGAAAATGCATCGAGGGAGATGGGTATGAGACCCACGTAAGTTGCCATGGGGGTAACCCAACCTATGTGATCGGAAATCCCGTGAATTAGGACCTGGGAAAACAATCCAACGGTCAACTGAGGAGAGTATCCTTAATTAACCCACTCCGTTGGAGATGCATAATACTCTCAATTCTGTAAGGCAGGTTGACTTTTGTATTAATGTGTTCTAAAGCTTATGTAAGCAAGATGCTAATCTACAGAGCATTCTTCGGAGGAACACACCTATGTGAGCCCGACTGCTGGTCACAGTCTATGAGATTGGGTAATCTCTAGTAAGCTCATGAGAAGGTACGGAGTATGACTAATAAGCTCCACCCATGGGGTTTAGCCTTCGGCAACCACGTATCAGCTAACAACAGGTGAAACTTCTGCACGCCAAACTGACAATTCAAGGCATAGTCCATTGTTCAGTTATGAAGAAGTCGAATCCTGTTGCTCTAGGTGGAAGTTCAACTTAACAGTCTCCACTGAAAATTCTGGTATATCAAACATTGTTTGGAACAGTTGACAAACTTATGTGCCTCGAGATCTAGTGGGGGATTGTTGGATTATGGATGGGCTTAGGCCCATATAAGATACTAATCCCTGGTTAATCTTGAGGCACATGTATGAGATGGCAGGTGGTGGGAAGTTTAGTCCCACCTTGCTAGTTGAGGAGAGTTGAGACCCCTTTATATGGGTTGCTCCACCACTTGCCATTGGGAGCTTGGGAAGAGGAGTGGTACACGCACGCTCCTCCGCCGCCGCCGCCCGCCCCGTTCGCGGGTGTTTGACCCTTCCTAGGAACGACGATTCCCTTCCCGGGAGTGCATCGACTCGGTCGTGGGCCTCCGCCCAGGCCCACAACTTCCTACCCAACGGCCTATATAAGAAGGCTCTGCCCAATGGAATGACCTAGTTCAATTCACTCCCTCCCTCTCACATAACCTAGCTGTCATCTACTGTTCCTCACTCTGTGCTATCTCCGGCGACCCCATCCCGACGACTGCGTGCACGGCTGGTCGGGAGAGCAGGTGCCTCCGGAACCCTGTCGTTCGAGATCCTGCCCGGGAGAACGGCAATAAGGTTTTGGGGGAGCGTCTCGACGCGACTGCTCCCGATCCGTCCCCAACACCGTCCGCCTCTGCTTCCACTACTTCCCCTGCATCGACACCATGGCCGCCGCCGCCGCCAAGAAAGAGGCCACAGACGACGCCGAGGCTGCTGCTGCCGCCGCCGCGTTGGCGTGGCCAACCGGAGGGTATGATCTGTTCATCCCTCGTTTACTCATACTTGTACTAGCCGTATTTGTGCTGCTCATAGAAGGTTCGCGCTTCTATGTTCTATATGTGCTAGTATGCTTAGGTATATCTATGAGATGCATACCTTTTATGCCATGCTTACTGTTTACTCGTGGATTAGTCTAATCAAAAAAGTGCTAATATTTCCAGCAGGCTATGCGCGAGGGGCTAGTATTTGCTAATACCTTGGGTTTTTCTCGAGTTGAAGCATAGTCTGATTCCCTCATGGTGATTGATTCCTGCACTGGACAAACAAGATGGTAGGACACTGCAGCGGCAATTTTTGTGGAGTGTGTGGATGCGGCTATGTCTATTGGGAAGGTCACTTTTAATCATTGCTCTCGGTCATGTAATGATGCGGCACATGTGCTAGCTAAACATAGTTTCTGTAATAAGATTTCTAGTAGTTGGACGGACGAGCCCCCGGGCTGTCTTGTCTCCAGACTTGTGGATGACGTTTTACCTTTCTAAATTGCAATAAAGCTAGTCATGATGGTCTTTCCAAATAAACAAATTCCCTATAGAAATGGCTCTCCCGGATTACACCGCTGCCTCTATGCACCCTTTGCTCCTCCTGATAGCGTTTTAGATTGAAATCCCAAGGCGACGGCGCGACCGGCTTAACCTACAGACTGCACCCGTCAATTCTTCAATCAGAACAACGAAATAGCAGGGTTAGTAGTAGTACTATTGATTATTGTTTTATCTTTCTCAGTTCTCGTCTTATATATTTCGAAATTATACATTAGATTTTAATTTTTTAGATAAAGATTTTAGTTCTTTTTTTTTTTTGAGGGGAAGATTTTAGTTCTTCTGGTTGCTTGTTATGTGATGCCAATTCTAAAACTTGCAGTTATGCTATTATGATGACAAAATCGGTAAACAAACACTATAAAGATTTATTCATCTTGATCATCGCTTTAATGGGAGATAACTTTGCTAGAGCATTGCGTGATAATCCACATTGAATCGAAATAAGCTGCTTAGTTCTCTTTGGAGGGAGTATTAAGATAGTTATATATCAACTTGGCTTGGTCCCTCCATTTCGAAATTTTGGCTCCCCTATCCCCCCGCGCCCGATGCCCACGTTTTGGTTCCGGAGACCACCTCCGTTAACAAAGGCAGCGGCAACATGACTCGACTTGCAGTATCAGTAACTGTCACCAGATCCTCTTTCTTTCTGCCTAAATAACAGCAGTGACTAACTGAACCAAGCATAGTTTCAGTCGGAGAAAATATCGGTAACAGGCAAGTGACATACCAGATTGCTCATTCAGTGAATCAATATCAACCATTCTCTAATGAAAAATATCAACCATACTCTAAAGAGTCACACCACAACACCCTACGATACGATCAGCAGAGCTACCACTGAGAATCTGAAACCAATAACGGGAAGCAAATTTACTTACTGCTAGTAAAAGAATGGTATCAGTAAACAAAATGGCCATCAACTTAGTTTGCAGGCAGACGGGACGCTATCAGTATCAGACCTATTGTTTTCGCCTCAGGTGATCTGGATGTGCTCTTCCCTCGGCTTGTCCTCGGGAGACGTCCTCGTCGTCGTCCCGGAGCCGGAGCTCCGGATCTCCTCGATCCTCCTGACGACCTGCTCCATCCTCGGCCGCTGGTCCGGATGAACGGCGACGCACGCCATGGCGACTTGGAGCAGCTGCACCATCTCGTCCTCGGTGTTGGGGTGCCTCTGCAGGTCGACGTCGAAAACCTCTGACGTCCACTCCTCCCGGACCACAGACTGCACCCACCTCGGGAGGTGCTCGATGGAGTCGTCGCGGCCGGGGGACCGGAGGGGGGCCTTCCCGGTAAGCATCTCCAAGAGCAGCACGCCGAAGCTGTACACGTCAGACTTTTGCGTCGGCTTCTTGGCCTCCAGGACCTCCGGCGCGCGGTACCCGACAAGCCGCGGGTGGAAGTGAGGGGTGGCCATGAGCTGCGCAAGGCCAAAGTCCGAGGCGCACGCGCTCAGCTCCCGCGAGAGGATGATGTTGTTCGACTTGATGTTGCCGTGGATGAACTTGCCGCCTGCTCCGGTGTGAAGATGAGCGATCGCTCGTGCGGCGCCGAGCGATATCTTCACTCTCGTCTCCCAGTCCAGTGGTGCTCTTCCAGCAGATTTGTTCCCTGTGTGTTCACAATGGATGGTAAGTCTGTGATCATGTAACTTCGGCGTTTCAATACATATGTGGTATTACAAAGATGCAAGTTAACTATACAGGTGAAGAAAATCGGCACCTATTCTTTTCTACACATTTCAGCATCCATAGAACAACAGTAGCTCAAAAGCATACAAATTTTAGCTACAAAACTACAACAGTAACTCCCGCAGAGTGTTCATCAGAACTTCAGAAAAGAAGTAAAAATTCTAAAATAAACAAATAAATTAGTGAGGAAGCAACTTGTTGACATCAGCTTGCACTGCCTTAATCTATCTTCCATTTTTCTTCCGCACGACTATGGCCGAGGGTCGAAAAGCAGTACATAAGGCATGTGTATAATTTTACTGTTTAATACATCTTGTATTTATCGAATTCATAATAACCAACTCGGAGTTTCATATATCTACGGAATTGTTCATCGTCCAGTTTGAGATTTCAAAAGATTAGCTTAAAGGCAACCTCAGTCCTCACCATGCCAGAATGCATAATTCGCACACTTACTTAGATTGCATTGAACAAACTGCAGGTTCCTAATTATTTCAGGAACAATTTCACAGTGCTACATGTTTAAAGGCAATTTCTACCATAGAATTGCATGTACTTGTCATCTAAGTAAGTGATGAAAAACTAGGTCAAAACAAGTTTCAAAATTCAAACAGGTAAATGAAATGCATACTTGCATAGTGGTTCAAATCAAAGACTTGAGATAAAGAGCATACCATGCAAAGCAGCTGAAAGGCTACCCGGTGTAACATAGTCATAGACCAAGAGCTTCTCGTCCTTGGAGTAATAGAAAGCACGCAAGGGAACAACACCCTGGTGCTGGCCAAGCCTGTCAATTATCTCCATTTGCTGTTCAAATTCCTTCTTTCCCGCCACCACCTCCTTCAGCCTCTTGACCACCACTGTCGTGCCATCCTCAAGAACAGCTTTGTAGGTCGTGCCGTAGCTTCCTTTTCCAAGGACTTCAGCTGAAGCCCTCAACAGATCCTCCAAGTCAAAATTATATGAACAGCCCTCAAAGAAAACTAATTTGTTCCTCTCTGCTTCTTGAACACCACTGCTGTATTCTGGCTTGGATTTGTCTCCTCTTCCACCCGCAACACCCTTCCCTTTGGATGAGGATGAGGCTGCGCGAGGCTCTCCATCTCTCTTTCTCTTGCAGATGCATATCACGAGTATGATAATCAAAATCAACAATATTGCCGCTCCTCCAGCAAGTATTGCAATTATGATAATTTTGTGATGCTTTCCCCAAAACTTTTCCAAATTACTTTCCTGGGAAGGTGGTGCATTCGGAGAAGGAGAAGGTGTGGTCCCTGGACATGGTTCCAGGGGAAACCCACATAGAAAAGCATTCCCCAAGAAAGAACTGGCTGGATACTTCTGCAGAGAAGCCGGAATGGGCCCACTGAGGTTATTATAGCTCAAGTTCAAATATCTCAGTTTGGGAAGGTGAAGATCAGGGATGGGTCCAGAAAGAGAGTTGTTCTGGAGAGACAACCCAGTAAGCTCAGTCATATTTTGCACTTTCAATGGGATTTCTCCAACAAATGTATTGTACGACAGGTCGAGGTATGCTAGATTTGAGGATAGTGATGTAGGTATTATGCCCGACAAGTTGTTGCGCTGAAGGTAAAGAGAGTGCAGAGAAGGAATGGATGCTACATCAGGGGGTAGGCTAACAGTAAGACGATTGGACCGAAGGCTTAACACCTCTAAGGCATCAAGCTTGCCAAGTATGTTCGAGGGCATAGGACCAAATAGTCCTACTGCAGGTAGTCGCAGCATACGCACACGCTTCCCATCTGGTGTGCATGTAACCCCAACCCAAGATGTGCAGACCTGCGTTGTGAGGGTCCAGTTGATCTTTCTTGCATGAGGCAGAGACGAAGCAAATGCAAGAAGGGCTTGCTTGTCAGAGTTCAGATCAGCCCCTTTGGCACAAGGAGGGTAAGGAAGGAACAGAGAAGCAGAAAGAAAAGCTATGAGCAAAAGATGTTGCATTGTTAGGATGGCTAGAGAACAAGGAGAAGAAGAATTATAATCGGACGGTCATCAACGCTTCACTCCTGCTACACAAAAGGAAAAAGAAAGCCATGAGTAAGTGAGATTGGTTCTTATAACATCAAGAGTCTAAATCATAGTGGGTGTATAATATGCAGTTCATAATTGGAAAAACATAGTAGAAGTGCAAGGGATTTTGGATACAAAAAATGAAGTGATGAAGCATAGGAGTTTCCCAATGTAGATAGTTACTTCATGATTAAGCAACCAACAAAACATCATTGCTTTAGAGACCATAAGAAAAGGCAAAAGAGAATTAACTATTTCCTTCTGTAATTGCAATAAAGGACCAATAATGTAGAACTGCCAAGAGAGTTGTGCAGTTGGATGGAAAAAATGCTTTCATCCATTAACAGTTTACAAGATGAATGTTCACTCATGTTTGCAATGGAAAATGTAATATCAGATTCCTAGTCTTGCCAAAGAATAACAAATTTGATGACCAGAAAGGAGCCTATTGTGAGATTAATAAGATTTGACACAAGGTGTGTCAGACTATCAATCAACCACAGTTTCTAATGGCAAAGGAGACTACTTACACAGACAGTAAAAATGCAACTATGTTCAATAGTGCCAACATTACTTAAGATCCAAGGAACCTAGATCCAGTATCTCCCAGTGTTACAAACACCAACACCTTTCCACGCTTTGCGTCATAATTGATCCTCGTTAGTGGCATCGAAAGCCGGAGGAAAGCTCATCATTGGAACAAAAACACAAACCCATAACAAAATGACAAAGTGCTACCACCCATCGACATGTACAGGGGTCCATCAGATTTTCTCAACTGCTACATACCAACCTCCCCTCCCAGAGGAACATTACAACGAATGACACCCTTGTCTTTCCTTTAGACTAACCAATCCAAAGCCCCACCCCCGTAGTTAATCAGTGCATGCAGCTCTGAGCTTTATATTTCTGAGATGGGGCAGGTCTGATCATGTGCTACAATAAAACGAAACCTACATAGGGCAGGTCTGATCTTTTAATAAAGCATCTCAGCGCTCCTCTTTAGCCTTTTCTGTACTGTACAGGACACCCCAGTTTCCTTAACGCCTAAACAAGGCGCTCGCTCGGTCCTTACCAGAGAGGAGGCAGGGATAGTGACAAGGCGGGGTTCCAATAGGACTTGCAATAGATAAAGGAAAGGCACAGCACACTGGTGAACTCCTTGCCTGCACTAATGGAACGGAACATGCACAAAAGCAACAACGCAGAGCACCTAACCACCGAGGCTTGATTACTGTCTACATGTAATTTTCTCAAGGACCAAGCTAGCGCTTTGAAAGAAAGCAGCAGCACCGAACCAAAAGTCCAGCACATAAAGCAGGTGGTCTCAGATGCGAGCGGGGATGAGGATTCCTTTTTTTTCATGGGTTCGGGGGGCGGCGTGGGGCTCCCTGCGGATTAATGGCCGGATGCGCCATGTGAGTGTGTGATCATGGGCAGCACGGCACACGAGCTGGCACGATGGTAGAGCAGGGCATCCATGGGACAAATGGGCAGGGCAAGAGATATCACTGTCTGCGCACTACGTACAAACAGTCTCCTAAAAAACAGTACATACAAACAATCCACAGTTGTAGCTGTAGACCTCTAGTAATGTAGTGCAGTGAAGTACTTTTCTCGCAGCAGTAAGATTGTAATTTATAGGAGAGTTCATGCTTCCATGTTGTCCTAGAGCATTTAAGCTTGGAAACTGTACAGGTAAATTTGCTCCTTGCACAGGCCTGGCTGGCTATTTTACAGTTTCAGGATTTTTTTACAGGTGCAGCAATGGTCAGTGGAAGCAAGATAAAAGATTAAAGCGCCCACCAAATCTGCAAACCAAAGCAGAAATGGCATCGGTTGATCACGGTGAAACACTCCATGGCGGGTTGTTCAGCTCCTGAATTTAACACTTTTTTAAAAGCAAGCCCCCAAATTAATATCACTAGGAAACGAACGTTGCCCATACATTCTAGTAGTATCTTTGCTTTTACTTTCTTTTTAATGAAAAAAGTGCACGAAATCGCCTGATTAGCCGCAACAGAATTGAGGGGAATGAACCTTTTTTTCTTTTTTTGGCAGGAAATGAGAGGAACGAACTGCATTGTATGTGCTCAGGCACGAGGTCGAATACATACCTCGCGAAAATCCCAGCCTCGGCGTGCTCGTGAGCGCAGACCAGCGCAGCAAGAAGACCCAGCGCGCGCGAACGCCCGGCCCCGAAGGAAGAAAACTCCGGCCTCCTCCGCGGCCGCTCGAATCGACCAACCGCCGCCGCCCGCCGATTAGGGCCAAGAAGCGCGGAATCACGCGCCACGAATTCTGCTCCAGGGACAAACGACGGCCCGCAGCATTCCGCCGGCGCCTCCCCCTCCGGCCGGACCCGCCGTGAGCAGCCGACCTGCGTCGTCTCCCCCCTCCCTCCAATGAGTCTGAGGTAGTGCAGTACAGTGCGGTTGTGCGGGAGAAGTGTGCGGTCAGGTCAGGTGCGCGCGCCTGTGTGTGTGCAAACTCGCTGTGGATTTAAGAGAAGGGAGGCGTGCGTTGGCCAAGAGGCTGCCGAGGGCTTCTTCCTGCCTCTGACCCGTGGGCCCGGGCAACGCTTTTTCTTTGACGTACGGCCAGTATCCGAATCAAATATGAAAAAAAATTGAAGGGCCATGTAAAACATTTATATTTAAAACATACTCCTACATATTAATAAAAACATAATTAAACATATTAAAACATCCGCTAAAGTCCAATTCAAACATAATTAAATATAAAATGTTAATAAAAAGTAGAAAAAGAAAAGGCAGCCGCCTAGCCGTCCTAGCATGCAGACCTAGGCGTCAGCGTCGGCGGAGCGAGCGTGGTCGAAGAACTCCAGCCGCGCAGCCGGGTGCGTTTGGTTTGAGGGCTATCCCTCGTGTGGCTAGGGATAGCCACTTTTTAAATGGCTGCCAGGCGTTTGGTTTGAAGTTTAGCGTGGCTGAGGATAGCCAGATTCGCAGAATATTCCATCAAAATCGGGCTGAGCGGAGCCGCCGAAAAGTGGCGGACATGGCCAACCACTCTGTGCCTGCGCACTCGCCTCGCCGTTTTCCCCTCGTTCTCGCCTCTTCCACCCGCCCCTTGATAAGAAAAAAACCCTCTCCGTATCTCTTGCGAATTTGCGGCGGCGGCCGCCGCCGCCGAACCCCGCGGGGCGTGGTGCTGCAGCGGATTTAGGGGCGTGAAGGTGAGGGAAGCAGGCGCGGTAGTTCATGCCGACAAGGGGAAGCAGGGGATCTGGAGAGCTGCCGGTCGAGGTGGTCGGCGGCGGATCTGGAGAGCTGCCGATCGAGGTTGTCGGCGGCGGATCTGGATCGAGAACTGATGTACATGTGTGGGTCGTGTGGTTCGCGACTACCCATGCGTGGCTTGCGGCGAAGCGTCGTGTGCATGCGGCGGAGTGGTGTACGTGCTGGGCTCCGGCCGGCCGCGCGTGCGTTGATTGTTGTTGCTCTGGTCGGCTGCGCCATGTCCTGTTCCTTTCGTTGATTTTTTCTACTCAAATCTGATGTTATCACAACAGCATATATCCTCTTTCCATCCCTTCAAGCAAACACAACAATGGCTATCTTCAACCACCTGACTTTCTATCTAACCAAACAAAAAAAGTGGCTATCCCTAACCAGGTGGATGAGGATACCCATAACCACCTTAGCCCATCCCCTGAACCAAACGCACCCAAGGGAAGCCCGCTGGTAGGACACCAACGTCGCCTGCTCTGGCGTCTGCTGCTACGACGGCTCTGACTGACATAGTGCGCGCCTCCTCGTCCTCCTCATACTGCCACTCCTCCTTCTCCTCGCGCACACAACGCTGCCAGCGCTCCTCCTCCTCGCCCCCAGCTGCATGTGGTCCTCCTCGTCCTCTCACTCCTCCTCCGGCACGCGCCCCATCCACTGCTTGAGGTAGGCCGCCTCCTCCTCTGTCGTCGCGCCCAGCCAAATGAGCGGCGTAGACACCCACTCCCGCACGACAACCACCCAAGGACGGCATTGTCGGTGGTGGTGGCGGGTAGACGCAGTTGCCTGTCGCCGACAGCTGGAGCACCTCCTCAAGGCCAGGCTAGCGAGCGTCTTCCTCGCGCTTCAACTCCTCGATAGCACGTTCCAAGGCCTCCTCCGATGTCGTCTGGTACGTGGCCTCAGCCTCCTCGTCCTCCTGCCTCACCACCAGTGGCGACGGTGAAGAGTGTGCCTCGATCTGGACGGCGCCGCAACGGCGAATGTTGTGCTCGATGGCGAACCAGACATCCCGGTTCAGGGAGTCTAGTGCGTACGCCGGGTTGCGGCGCTGCTCTGGCGTGTGGAGTGTACGTTGCCTGCGGATCTCCTCCGCAAGCACCCGCTCAGACTGCGGCACGGCCGGCACCGAAACACGGTGGGGGTCGAGGTGTGAGCCGTGCGGGAGGTTGACATCGGCCACAGCAGCAGGATGTGGTAATCCCATTGGCATTGTGTGTTGTGCACCGGTCG